TAACCCAGTGCGCCAGACTTTGATGGTAGTGTGCATAGAGGGGGTGAGGGGCTCGCGGTCCTCTATAGAGTAGACTAGTTAGTGCCTCAACTGAGTTCAAGATGGCAGCCTATAACATGACAGAGGAGTTGTTGACATCCGCCGAGAGCCACCAGTTGGCCCTGACCATTTGGGTAGCAAGGCAATATTTATAAAAGTCCGGGAGCGCTAGACCACCCTGGATAGTGGGGCGCATTAAGGTCGTAAGTTTATATCTCTGAGGCTGGGAACCCCATAAGAAGGAGGAGACTAATTGATTTATTTGATGAAAATAGGATTTAGTAATCAATATAGGGGAGTTATGAAAGATATATGTCAATTGGGTAATATCTTCATTTTCACTAGGTTGATTCTACCCAGCAGGGTAGAAAGGTAAGTTTGCCCATGCCTTCAGTCGCTGCCTCATATCGCTCAAAATTCGAAGTATGTTCAATGTGAGGTATTCCTGAGGCGATCCGGAGATTACCACCCCCAGATATTTGAATGAGTCCACCCAGGATAGTTGAGTAACCGTCCTGGGTACAGACCTAGTGTGAGCATCAATGGGGAACAGTATGGACTTCTGCCGATTAACCTTTAGACCCGATACAGCGGAGAATGTATTCAGTACTTCCAGGGCACCCTGCTATGAGGGTCGCGGATCATTGACGAATAAGAGCAGGTCGTCTGCATATAGCGCCACCATCTCCTCCAACCAGCCAACCTAATATAGGGAGATATCCGTAGAGCTTCAGTTTGGGTTCCATGGCCAGGGCGAAGAGAGTGGTCAACCGCGGACAACCCTGCCGAGTACCCCCACAGATAGGAAAGGGTTCAGACAGGTTATTACCCAACTTTATAGAGGCCACAGGGCTATGGTACAGCAGTTTAATCCAGCGAGTAAACTCCAAGGGAAATCCCATTTTGTCCAGTATAGCCCACAAGTTTATAAAAAAACATTTCAAAATTTACGGTACTTTTTTAAAATTATATAGTAAAAAATAAAACCCCCAGTGGTGATTATATACCACCAAAAGAAAGCTCTATTTGTTCCCAAAAAAATGTTAACATAAATTGCAAGTCTATAGTCTGGTCATGCTGACTGGTGAGAGACCCTAACATTTTTCAAGCCCTGATCATACCACAGATTTCACCTTCCTGGTGGTTGATTTCTTGAAGAAAGAAGATTTATCTGCCGTAATCACTGTAGTCTATTCATTTTGGACACGAGTTGGTACACACCAGGGGAAGATGCCCATTTCTTGAGGAACTGCACTTCGAAGGAGTAGTGAAATGAGAAGCATTTAGCCAAGACAAATGCCCAAGCAGGATGCTCCCTTTCCTTATATATGAGGTTGCCAAATAGGATGATAAGAAATATCTTGGTAAAGCATTTAGGCTTGTTACATAGTTACATAGTATTTGAGGTTGAATAAAGACATTAGTCCATCAAGTCATGTGAATACCAAACGGATAAAGCCCCTCCAAATCAACCAGTCATATGTGAACCCATGGTTGATCAGCCATATGTAAAGCTCCCGTCCCCTGTGAAATATCACGCAGGCAGCTCTAAGAACCAGAATAGGACTGTCACAGCCGATCCAGCACATAGCAGGGATCTGCATGTTCTCAATAGCTGAGCTGGGGAAATATCAAGATTTATGGTATCCAGCCTATCCTAGCCAAGCTTGAAGAAAATGAAAAATGAAAAAAAAAAAAAAAAAAGAAGAAGGACTATACCCTGCAAAAGAAAGTGAAGTAACATTCCCAGCAAGGAGCTTAAGCTCTCACTACTAGAAACTAGGCAAAAACTGAGCTGCCTCTAGCAGATAGGAGGTTTGGCCACCAGCAGTGGCAGCCTATGGTCAAGATCTTCTCTATGTCTAATGAAAAGAAGAGAAAGTAAATGTTTGTTTGTAGGTGCAGGGGTGTGGAATTCCTATCGCCCGACGCCCGGGACATGCAGTTTCGGGCGCCGGGCAAGTAGTTTTAAAGTACATTCAGCCCGGCTCCGGACAAGCAGAGCTGAATGTACATTGTGGAGCCGCCGGCGCTCGTTATCGCTGATCAGACCACTTGTATTAATTTGACCAGCGGCGATCGTTTCTGCCCGCACCCCCCGCCGTAGTTTTCGGGGTCGCCCGCTCTCCCGGGGGACACCGAAAACGAAGGCACAACGGCTCAGCCATAGAGCCCATAGAGCAGACGAAAAACGTCTGCTCTACGGGCTCTCTGAGACCGTGGCGCTGTAATAACAGCGCCACCTGTCTCGGCTGTCAGGAACTACACAGAAAAGCTGTTCTGTGTTGGAGGGCGGGTTCCATAAAGAGAACCTGTCACCTCCAAAACTATCACATAAGGGATTTTAATCTCCTATGTAATAGGAAGAACATTAAGGGGAAAAAGTAAATAAATAAAAAGTTAAAGAAAATTAAAAAAGTTAAAAAAATAAAATATATAAAGGATTTAAAAAATGACAAAGTAAAAAATATAAAATAAATAAAAATGAAACTTTGCTGCCCCCCTCCATCTGCATGCAAATAAACACATGCGTAGGAACTGCTGCGGTTATAGGACCGGCTGGGGTTCTCCATTTTCAGTACAGGGCACTGCCCTTTGGACTGTCGTCCGCACCAAGGATTTTTACCAAGGTGCTGGCAGAAGCCCTTGCCCCCCTGAGGGCGAGAGGAGTAGGGGTTGTTCCGTATTTGGACGACCTTTTATTTTTTGCCCCCTCAGGGAACCTCCTCCGGCTGAAATTGGAACTCGCCATCTGCCACCTGGAGAGTTTGTGGTGGCTACTGAACAGGGAGAAGGCCCAGCGGGTCCCTTCACAGACTGTGAAATATTTGGGGTACTGGATAGACACCCGCAACTGGCTGATTTCTCTCCCTCAGGAGAAGGTCTCCCTTCTGGGTGCAGAAGCAGCAAACTTTTATCTAGCGAAGGAGGCATCCTGCAAATCAATCATGAGCGTTCTGGGGCTGATGACATCTGGGCTCAACGGCACTCCAGGCCTTTTCAAAACTTGCTCTCGAGTCAGTGGTGAGGAGAATCAGAAGGTCAGGACAGGGGGTTGGTACCAACAGACCCCGTCAGACAATCCTTGCTTTGGTGGACAGCCAGTCAAAACCTTGGGGGAGGCAGGTTGTGGAATCAGCCGGAACCTCTAGGGGGTCACTACGGACGCTAGCACGTGGGGGTGGCGAGCCCACCTTCAGGATCTCATGTGCCAAGGGTCGTGGGATCATGTCTGGCGGCACAGGTCTTCAAACATGAGGGAATTGAAGGCCGTGGGCCTTGCCCTCTTGCATTTTCAACATCAGCTAGCAGGGACTCACATTTTAATAGTGTCAGACAACACCACAACAGTAGCGTACATAAACTGGCAAGGGGGCACGAGGTCACGAACTCTGATGTCCTTAGACACAATCCTCTCCTGGGCAGAGACAAAGCTCCTGTCCTTGAGGGCGGTCAATTTGAAAGGAAGTTTGAATGGTCTAGTGCAGCGGTAAGCAACCTTGGCCCTCCAGCTGTTGTGGAACTACAAGTTCCATGATGCATTGCAAGATTTTGACAGCCACAGGCATGACTCCCAGAGACCCAGGCATTATGAAATTTGAAGTTTTACCAAAAACTGGAGAGCTGGAGGTTGCCTACCCATGGTCTAGCGGATTCCCTCAGCAGGAGGGAAGTGAGGAGTACGGAATGGTCACTAGACTCACAAACCTTCCAGTGGATAGTCAGGACTTTGGGGGGTACCGCAAGTGGACCTTTTTGCTTCAGCAGCAAACAAAAAGGTGGAAGTTATTCTCCCTCACACGGAACGACGGAGGTTTCCAAAGGTTATTCGGAAGCTAGAGAGGGAAGAGACAGCAATAGTGTTGATCACCACATTCTGGCAGAAGAGGCTTTGGTTCACGGCAGTGCTGGATTTGAGCAGGGACACCCCTTTGCCTCTTCCATTGAAGGAGGATCGTTTGATGCAGGGTTTGGTGCGTCACCCACAGGTACAAGCACTGCATCTAACGGCCTAGTTACTGAGAGGGACATCTTAGTGGGTAAGTAAGGGTCTCTCTGAGAAGGTAGTGTCCACTATCCTTTGCAGCAGGAAAGCCTCCACGTCAGCTATCTACCAGAAGGTGTGGAAGGTTTTTTCCGCTTGGTGGAGTGAAAGGGGAGTCGCCACTAATGGGATGGTGGCACAGGTTTTAGAATTTTTACAAGACGGATTAGATAGGAACCTTGCTTGCAGCACCCTGAAGGAACAGGTGTCAGCACTATCCAATTTTTTAGATGCAAGGCTTGCAGAGGTGCCCCTCGTGAGAAGATTTTTAAGATCGACTGGGAGATTGAGGCCCCCAAAAGGTTAAATGTTTTCCCCGATGGGACCTGTCCGCAGAACTTCAGGAGTTCCTCGGAACACCTTTTCGAGCCGATCATGGACTGTTCTATCAGGGCACTTACTTTGAAAGTAGCGCTTCTGGTGGCCCTTGTATCTGCCAGGAGAGTAAGTGAGATTCACGCTTTTTCTATGCAGCAGCCCTATTGCACGATGTTTTCGGGCAGGATTGTGCTGTGACCTCATCCAGCCTTCTTACTGAAGGTGGCCTCTACATTTCATAGGGGTTAAAATTCAAAGTAAGTAAGCCACACTTTTAGAGAAAATCATTTAATTAAAAAAAAACAAAACAAACAGACCGTCCAAACCCGACGAAAACTCTCCGCAAAATGACATTCCTTACTCGAAAGTAAACAGATGGGTGGAGCGAGGCGTGACGTCACGACTCGCTCTGCCCATTTGACATTCTCAGCTGTCAAATACCACATAGCATTTGGGAGCTCCCGAATGCCATTTGGGTCTGTGAGCCGAGGTGTCATAATAATTTTTATATGACACCTCGGCTCACAGAGCTGCATGGCATTCGGGAACTCATGCTTTTTTTTTTTCCTCTTCTCCAGACTAAAAAAAAAAATGTCACTTTGCTGCAACAAAATTACTTCCAACAAACAACATTTCGTACATACTACCACTAACAAATTTTGTCCGAATCCAAAACAAATTGACTTTTGGACACGAAAAACAAAATAACGCAGTCCAAATGAACACCAAAATAAATGAATAACAAAATAAGTCCAAATGAAAACCACATTTTTTTTGCCGTGCACGTGTCTAGTATCCTCTATATCAGTGGTTCTCAACCTGTGTAACCTCAGGACCCACATTTGTCCTTGGTCATCATGTCGTGACCCAAGTCGCACCACACTGCAACGCATGGCATTGCGGTACCGAGCGTCCGGTGCTGGCGAACTGTGGGATAGCAATGCAACACACCTCCCACACCAGAATGCACGGTAAGTGCGATTCTGTTGTGAGGTGCGTTAATCTCACAGGACTGTGCGATTAACGCACTGTACTAGTGTGAACGGGTCCTCAAAAACACTGACAGACACACAAGCATAGACGCAATCTCATATTCACAGACACTCACCCACACATACACACTACAAAAACATTTTTTTTTTTTTTTTAAGATCCACCCAGTCTCCCTATCTTACGAGAACTGGAGTGGATCCTCAGCGTAGGATCCAGTGTGAGATTCTGTGCTGTGACGGAGCTCCATCCATACGTGTATTTCTTGTACAACTCCCTCATGTGCCCTGTAGAGGTGCTGGGAGCCAGAATATGACATAATTCTGGTCCAGGCACCTCTACAGGGCAGGTGATGGAGCTGTAAGCAATGCAAGTATGGATATATGGAGCTCCCTCGCGGCAGAACCCCACCCCAAGCCGACACTCTGCACCGGGCAGCATATTTTGAATGGCTGCTTGGTGTGAGAACTGACAGTGCTGCACTAGGGGGAATGCTGAGGAGCCTCTCACCTAGAAAAGTGGAAGGCATGCGGTGACCCACTGAACACAGGGTCGTGACCCACTTTTGAGGCACAACGGGTAGCTCATTACTTGATAAGCCAGCTCTTAAGAGCTTGCACAAGAATTCACTCTGCAGAAAAGTCACTTCTTTTCCCTTAGCATTTACAAATATTGCTGTATATGTTCTTCCTTCCTTGACTTTGTCTAGCTCACACTTACTCAGTATGAACAGTAACATGTAAAATAGTTTTGCTTAAAGCAATCTCTTCGGGGGAAGAGGGTCTTGGTTGGTCGAGATTAGACCTTATTGCTACCATTTCACAGACGGGTAGTCCTAATTCTCTCTCCCAGCATCTTTCAAAAGTTGGAAGATCCTTCCAACGAAAAAGGACATCATTGTTGCCAGTATTCCAGAATTAAAGTTTTTGTTTCAGCTCATGCCTGAAATGTGGCTGCTATGCTGAGGAAACACATCAAGGTTACTTTTCCTTTAGGTCGATCTGTTCATCTTTCTGGTGGTTTTAGAAAGTGGCTCTCTGCGTGCACTAGGTCACATGCATTGTGCCTGGTCAAGCAGATGGAGCCACAGATTAATCTCTGGGTTTGCTCTTCCAAAGGTCGTCATCCTTAGTGGTGTACCTCCAGAGATATTCTAGAAGGCAGTAACCGGATCCGTGTTCCTGTCCCATTACGGGGTATATCCAGGAGTCTTGTTCATGGTGAAGTTTGGTTCTGAATGTGTTTAACAGTGGTACAAATAAATATCTCAGCATTACCCTCCCTGGTTGTGTGATCATTATATCCCATTCATATGCTGCCATGTGGGTGTCAGGAGAACTGAAAATTGTATACTTACCTTTCGGTAATTTTCCTTTCCTGACTCCAATACATAGCAGCATACGGGAGGCATCAGCATACCAAGACATTTTGTACAATTTTATACTCCCAACTTTGTGGGAACAGATTGGGGATGGCCCCTCCCTGTTCCAACATGACTGCACACCAGTGCACAAAGCAAGGTCCATAAAGACATGGATGAGCGAGTTTGGGGTGGAGGAACTTGACTGGCTTCCACAGTCCTGACCTCAACACAGAACACCTTTGGGATGAATTAGAGCGGAGACTGCGAGCCTAGCCTTTTCGTCCAACATCGGTGCCTGACGTCACAAATGCGCCTCTGGAATAATGGTCAAACATTCCCATAGACACACTCCTAAACCTTGTGGACAGTCTTCCCAGAAGAGTTGAAGATGTTATAGCTGCAAATGGTGGGCCAACTCAATATTGAACCCTTCGGACTAAGACTGGGATGCCATTAAAGTTCACATGCGTGTAAAGGCAGGCGTCCCAATACTTTTGGCAATATAGTGTGTGCGTGATATATATACACACACACACACAGAGTGGCCAGATTATTATGACCACCTGATGTTTGTAGGCAAATTAGCTATAATTTTGCGCTGAAGTTGCTAGAGGGCCAGACCATTATAAATAGGGAAACAGGTTGTTTACCATGATAGTAGAAGTGATTTTTTTCTGAAGATATGGGTTGCATTTAAAAGGGTAATAAAAAATCCCACCTTTTGTAACATGGAGAAATTGCACAGATCAGTATTAAACACAGGAATACAGTTCTGCAAATACATACTATAGATAAAATGTGCCAACATGGTCTGACATTTCCTAGATTTTTGCCACTGCTGTCAGTATTTCAAGGTATCATACGTACCATGTATCTTATCAACATTCTTGGACTGCGACCTGCCTTTTTCTTGCATAGACTCAACTCTTGCCATTGCCGCTGAAGCAGCAGCTATCTGGGCCTCTTTTGGAGATGGTCTTGGAGGCCTTGGTTGCTCTTTAGATACAATGTCAGGACTTCCCCTTAAGAAAGAAAAAGGAAAAATGGACAATGAATAAAGGAATAACTGTACTACAGAATGTAAAATGCCCTCAGCATATTATATTTAACCAAGGAATCCTGTAAAATCAAAACGGCCGCTTTTATACAACATAAGTTTATATTGCCTATGCATTGACATAAAAAAAAAAAACACTAAAAGCCCACTACTGTTTTGGGGAGTTTAACTTCAATTCTTAAGAATCAAACATCTCCAGTCAGACTGCCTATACATTGTTCATTATATTTATGCTTTCCTAATAAGGACTGACATCAGCATTGCACCAGTCTGATCTCCTTGTTCTGTCCTTTGTTTTACTGGATCGTTTAATTTTAAAATGGATATTTCACTACAGATTTTTCAGTGCAAAAAGGCAATAATGGGTGATACAACATGGAACCTTTGGGTATATGCTCCTGTCTGTAGGAGATTAAACACAAGGCAAATTGTGAACATGCTTAACCTCCCTGGTGGTCTGATTATGCAGGATTTTAGCATCCCAAAGCTGTACATTGTTTTTCATGGCAATTTGTTGTTTTATATTGTAGGCCTGCAATTCTTAGTAAATCTTAGGAATAACTCACCTAAATCTGTCCAAACAAGAGTCCAGTAGACATCCCGGATATGATAAAGTTTGAAACACGAAATCATACATTATAATAAATAATTATAAAAAAATTATAATATAATAAAAAAAATGGTCCAGTAAATGGGAATTCTGGGGGCGCTGCCTGATTCGTACCACAGTCAATAGAGTACCAAGTTAGCACATAACTGAGCTCCGTCGCAGAATTGTCACTGTTGTCACTTTCAGTGTCTGATGATGAATTTCCCAACGAATCGCTATCGCTCAATTCTGCAAGTGATTCTAATTTACTATCGCTGTTTTCTACCTGGTCTAAAACCGCTTTTGACCTAAAGGGACGCTTTTTGGATGCCATTGACGTTCTCAAGTTTCCAGGCAGAAAGAACAGTAAAAGTGCAGGCAGGGCACTCGACAAAGCTCTAGGGACAAAATTGAAGTTAAATGGTTTGATACATAAATGTAATCATAGCAGATTACATTGTATTGTGTGTATTCTGTGCATATTGCATGTTTTCACCTTTGAATTTCCTGCCGGCTCCACCCCCCGCTGTGACGCCGAAAACAATACTAAAAGTCAGATGCCGGCATCGGCCGGCCGCGTACACCGCGGGCTAGTAGGGACAAGGTAAGTGACACTTTTGTGCACTCCCGAGTGTGGCTCGGGGTTACCGCTATTGGTACTGAAACTTAACCCCGAGCCACACTCGGGAATACCGCCATGGAGGTTAAGGAATAGCAATAGCAGGATAAAAAATGTAAGAATCATAATATTAAAAACCCATAAAAACAACACATTTCCTTATTATTTACTATACAACAATAATTGTAGTTATTACAGTACATTTCACTTTCACATAAATGCCTGAGAGCATGTCACTCAAATCTGGTAAATGAGCAGCAACAGGAAATAAGGCTGGAAAATAATGTGGCAAATACAGTAAGAGATGATTGCACTAGAGATGGTGGATATTTCCTATGGGGACCCTATGGAGTAATGAGAAAAAAAAAAGTGTCTGTCTTTGGAAAGACAATCAAGGTAGATAGATATATTCTGAATGCCAGTGCCACATAAAGTATAGTGAATGAAGAAAAAACATTTTTAAGATATATGTAGTACATATATACAGTACACATTCCCAATACACTGCCGGCAATAGATTCACAATTATCCCCTGCTAATATTAATGGGTTAAATGATTCGTAGTACAACTACATGTTATGTACTATAGATCATTTAACCCATTCATGTTACCCGAGGATAATTGTAAATCTATTGTTGCAGTGTACTCTATATGTAGTATGTAGTACATGTACGTTACACACATCCACTACACTGTTGCAATAGGTTTACAATTATCCCCTGGTAACATGAATAGGTTAAAAGATTTATAGTACATAATATGTAGTTGTACTATGGATCATTTAACCTATTCATGTTAGCAGGGGATAATTGTAACTCTATTACTGCAGTGTACTGGACGTGTGTGCTGTATATGTACTATGGATCATGATTTAACCTATTCATGTTAGCAGGGCAGAATTGTGAGCGCCTCCCACAAGCTGAGCACCGAGACGCAATGCAGCGCTCCTGCCCAGCGACGACTACAAGAGGCACCACGTGAGGCAACAGGGATCGGAGTGAAACTGTTAGTGAGGGAAGCTGGGACGGGGCTGGCTGTAAATTTATTGCTATAGTGTACTTGACGTGTGTAATGTACACTGAGTGGCCAGATTATTATGACCACCTGATGTTTGTAGGCAAATTAGCTATAATTTCGTGCTGAAGTTGCTAGAGGGCCAGACCATTATAAATAGGGAAGCAGGTTGTTTACCACGACAGTAGAAGTGATTTTTTTCTGAAGATATGGGTAAACAACGCGATTTAACAGCCTGTGAACGTAGGATGATTGTTGGCGCTCAAGCCATGGAGCGAGTATCAGCAAAACACGTTCAAGAGCAGCTGTTGTTAAAGTGTTTAAAGACTGGACTGTCAGCCGAAAATCTGAGTCTGAACGTGCGAATTGTGGCCGTCAGCGACAAGTCAATGTTAGGGCAGAACGGAGAGTGGCAAGACTGGTACAAGACAACAGAAGGGCAACAGTGCAGTGTCAGATTCCTCGCATCACCTTTCAACATCACGTGGAGTCACGAGGCAGCCCAACTAAGTCATCTTGTGGAGTCATCTCGTGGCCCAACGAAGTACTGATGGGGTGGTCATAATAATCTGTCCACTTGGTGTATATGTAGTATATATATATACAGCACACACCTCCACTACACTCCAGCAATAGATTTACAAGTCTCCCCTGCTAACATGAATAGGTTAAATCATGATCCATAGTACATAACATGTAGTTGTACTTTGGATCATTTAAACAGTTAGTGTTAGTGAATAGAGAGTGCAGCTAGTGTTAGTGGAAAGGGAGTGCGGTTAGTGTTAGTTTATGGTCCTGCTCAACATATTTTGCGGTTCTCCGTACAGTTACGGCGGGGAACTTTAAAAAACAAATTACAAGTACATTGCTATGAAGCTTTTTTTATCTTTTATTCTGCGGTCATGTGACTGCACGGCCTCCTTCATTCACTTCTTTCCCATAGCAGGTGGTGTCAGTACAGCACACAGACGACATTGTATGATGTCACAAACCAGAAATAGGTTCCTTGTCTGTGCGCTGCATTCCACAGGCTGCATCTACAACAGAGCAGGGCTGGGCTGAGGGTTTAGCACAACACTGACTGGGAATTACAGGTTCGCTGTGCATTAGCATGGCATCCTGTATCTCCTAGTAGGGAATCCAGGGACACATATATCCGAGTCCGAGCTTGCCATGGTCAGTATGAAAAAGGAACCAAAAGGAACCTGCTATTACTATTTTAAATAGTAATAGCAGGCTGGCTATTACACCCGCCAACAGGGCGCGCGCCCCCAAACCGGTACCCTCAGATGGCTGCCTATGCAGCCTTAGGCTAGCGCTGTCCCTGGCCACATTGCCCAATCTACCCCAAATCCTGGAGGCATTTTTTCCACAAGGAGCAGACAGGGCCGGCCTTTGGGGTGTTTGAGCTGTGCGGCTGCACAGGGCGCCAGGCGGCCGACAGAGCTCGTCCCCGGGGTAGCTACAGCCTGCAGCTTCTTGCCTTCTCACCGCTCGGCCAATCCGACATGATAGCGCCGGGGAGGGGTGCAGTAGGGAGCGCTGTCATGACGGATGGCCGATCAGTGAGGAAGAGAGAAACCGCAGCTTTCAGGATGGCCGAGCGGCGAGTAGATCGGCGCCGCTGTCATCCTGTCAGTTTCAGGATGACAGTGGCTCTGTGCGTAGCAGAACAGAGGATCAGTAAGTATCATTGATATTTACAGATCGTCCATGTGCAGCACAAACACTGGGCTCTCCACTTTCTCCGTGGATCTGCTTGGCCCACTTTTTCCGAACTCACCTCGCATCCTGCTTTGACAACATTGGGCTTTTGAAAACTATGCCAAATTAGCACACTACCCATCCTCACTGCCATCTCTGATTCTATTCTGTAGGCCATTGTCTCCTTTTGAACGGGAATTTTTTATGGCGGGCACCTTAGCTAAAACATTCCTGCTTTGTTACAAATTGCTTTTTCTCCTAGACCTTGATCAACTTCTACCTTTCCTTGAGAGGTGGGAGAGAGCCCTGGCGG